GGGAGGCAGCCACAGGAGCCTCCATCCCCTAGGGCTGGGTGAATAATTAAAGTCCCCCTAAGGGCTTATCCTGCAAGCAAGGGGGGAAAGAGACCTAGACTTTAATTTTGGAAAATTAGTCTTGGCCTCGGGACCTGAGCTGGGACTGCCAGTAATTAGTCTTGAGGCACAGGTGAAATCATACTGAGTAATAAATAGTTGCTAGCATTCCTCAAACTGACTACACGTTCACACGTGTGCCTGCCTGCATGGGGGCTGGAGCATTTATTCTTGCCTAAGGAGTGAGAATAAATGAGGCCTTTTTCCTTTCTCTTCACTCCCCTGCCGTTAAAACTTCCTAATATGTAGCAGAAGGCCCAACCTTTTTAGACATCATGAAGATGCATGTGAAAAATCATCTCTTGAGTGTGCTATTTATCCCTGGAAGTGTGAAATAATAGTTGTCTTAAAAAAATGAGTGGTACTCTCAGATGGTGGAGCTCTGTGTCTGTATTCAGTGTAGAACCTATGGCCACAGTTGAGGTGGGTATGTTTTTTTCCTCACGATAAAGAACCATGCTCCTTCTGGTGGAGGAATTGCCTGCTGGACCATCCACCAGCTAGACTAAAAGAAGACTAATCAATAACCAAATGTGTTAGGAAATATGGAAATGAGCCAGGTGGAGTGGTGCACACCTATAACCCTCCCCCCAGCCTCTTGGAAGGCTGAGGAAGGAGGATCCCAAGTTGTGTGTATGTGGTGTGCTGGGATTGGACCAGGGCTTGTGCATGCCAGGCAAGCTCTGAGCTATATCCCCAGCCCAGGATCACAAGTTTGAGGCCAGCCTCAGCAACTTAGTGAAACCCTGTCTCAAAAAATAAGAAAGGCACCAAGGATGGTGGTGCATGCCTGTCATCCCAGTGGGATGACAGTCGTGTGCCACCACTCCTGGCTTTGTGTTTAATGTTTTGAGGAGTCAGAAAACCATTTTCTTCAGCTTTCCATCATTTTACATTGCCACAAAGTTTCAACTGCTCCAAGTCCTCACCCCTGCTTAACTTTTTTTTTTTTTTTTTAATTTGATAGAGGCCACACTGATGGGTGTGAGCAGATATTTAATCAGGGTTTTGTTTTGCATTTCACTTGTGAAGGCTGACTTCAAACATGGTTGCATGGGTTTGTTGGCTACTTGGTCCTCTTTGGAGAAATGTCTATAAAGTCCTTTGCCAATTTTTAAAAATTTATTTATTTTTATATGGTGCTGAGGATCGAACCCAGTGCCTCACACATACTAGGCAAGAGCTGTACCACTGAGCCCCAGCCCCAGGTCCCCTTTGCCCATGTTTTCATTAGGACATTTGTTCTCTATTGCTGTCAGTTCTAGGGATTCTATATATACAGTCATGCAAGTCCCCACCCCGCCAAAAAAATACCAATCCATGGAGCCTCAAGTCCCTTGTACAAAGTAATGCAATAGTGTCATATAATCAATGCTTTAAATCATCTCCAAATTTTTACATTATCTCATGCAGTGTAAATCAATGCTGTGTAGATAACTATACCGTGCCATTTAGAGACAGGCACAGGGAAAACATCTGTACATGTTCACTCCAGACAGTTTCTTTTGCATTTTCTACTACAGTTAGTGGAACGTGCAGATGTGGAAGCTGTGGGAATGTGTGTGTGTGTGGGGTAGTGCTGACTATATTCCGGGTAGTAGCCCTTTGCCAGGTACCTGATTTACAAATGTCCATGCGACCCCTGAACTGACCTCTGCGGCTGCCAGTGGGTGGGGATGGAAGGTACGGCCTGTAGCCTGCCCAGGGTCCCCCTTACCATTTGATGATGTCATCTCCGGCTCCTGGGAGGGAGAGACCTCCCCTTACCATTCTCTTGTGCCTGCCTCTGAATTGCCACCCCTCCCACCTGTCCTGTGGGGAGCCAGATTCCCAGCTCCTTAGCCTGGCCCAGGGGAGCCGTTCCCTGGGGTGGCCCTGCCAGCTCTGTCCCCTGTGCCAAGCTCCTGGCCTCCCAGCCCCAGTGTCCTGGCTCGGGCACTAGCCCTGGCAACTTCTCCCAGGCCACCATGGTCCAATCTCCATGGCTGCCTCTTCTGCTCAGTTGGGAACTTTTGCCAGGGTACCAGAGACTTGTCTTTCTCACAGTGTCCTTTTTTTTGGGGGGGGGTCAGGGTTGCGGGGGGGGAATGTGAAGAGACAGACTGACAAGAAAGAAGGAAGAGGCCCAAGACAAAGACCAAGTAAGACAGAGGAGGGGGTGTGGGGGAGCAGAGAGAAGGGTCAGCTGTCCTCAGGGCTCCCCCCAGTGGACCGACCCCTTTGTCCAGCTTTGGGCCCCGGGATGTCCCTTTGGTTTCCAGACCCCCTGTTTCCTGGCTCCCTGGCATGGTATCCAGAGTTCCCAGATGAGTCATAGCACTTTCTCCTTTATGTCTTGATCTTTTTTCTTCCCATATTTTGCATAATAAAGGTTTTCTGTTCTTTTGCTTTGGGAGTCTGAAAACTATAAGAGACTATGTTTAATAAAGAACTGAATACAGATCTCAAAGGAAGTAGCTTGGTGAGGGGGTGGTGAGGAGGGGAGGTGGAGGGAAGGGTCCTTTCATTAGAAGGAGGCTCCCCCTGTCAGCAGAGTTGGGCCCTTGTAAATCTAGTTTTGAATTTAGGGCCTGGGAGACTTGTGAAAAGAAAAAACAACACCAACAACAACAAAAGGAGCCGAGGGAGGCCCCCAAACTTCTGGGAAAGAGGTCCTCGTTCCTGCCTTGTTGGAACCAATGTTCAAGGGTTGGTTTAAAGGAGATGCCACTTGGTAAGCAACGGCTGGCTTCCTGGCTCCAATCGGCTGGACAGCTGCCCCTCTTTTCTCAACCTGGCAGAAGTGTGTGCCTAGAACCCTCAGGACAGCACTGCTACCCTGCAGATTCTTTTTTAAGGTGGGGAGAGGAGGGTGGGTAGCAGAGATTGAACTCAGGGGCACTCGACCACTGAGCCCCATCCCCAGCCCTGTGTTGTATTTTATTTAGAGACAGAGTCTCACTGAGTTGCTCAGGGCCTCACTAAGTTGCTGAGGCTGGCTTTGACCCTGCGATCCTCCTGCCTTCAGAGCCACTGGGATGACAGGCAGCACTGCGCCTGGCAACCAAGCAGATTCTCATGCATCTCCTGTCCCAGTTTGAATCTGCGAGGCAGTGCCATGTTCACAACAGGCCCATGGCCCTGTCCCGCTTAGCATTAGTTAGTTACCTTTGTCCTGATTAATGACTGCTGGTCCCTTGGTTAGATTTGGGGTTTGTCAGAGGCCTCGAAGGTTAAAGATGAAAATAAGTCATAGTGGACAGTGCCTTCCTATGTGGGCAGGACACCCTCAGAGCACTTTCCTTAATGTCTGCTATCCCTTTAGCATGGTTTTAAGTTGGGTTGCCCATATTCCAGAAATGACAGGTTTCGGCTGCATCATTTAGATGAGAAAACTGAGGAACAACACCATTAGAGCTGCAGGGGATTTGATTCCAGTGAGACCCAGCAGTGAGCTCCTCTCTCCCTTTGCAGAGTGCCAGGATTTTATTTTGTTTTTTTAAATTTGTACTAATTAGTTATCCATGACAGTACAATGCATTTTGAAACATCCAACATAAATGTAGTATAACTTCTTCTGGTTGTACATGATGTGGAATCACACCAGTCATGTAATTATGTAGCACACAGGGTAATAATGTCCCATTCTTGTACTATCCTTCCTACCCCCAAAACACCCTCCCTTCCCTTTGCTCCCCTCTGCCTAATCGAAAGTACCTCTATTCTTCCCTACTCACCTGCCATTTTGAATTAGCACCTGCATATCAGAAAGAACATTCAGCCTTTGTTTTTTTTTTTTTTTTGGAATTGGTGTGTTTCATTCACTTAGGATGATAGTCTCCATTTCCCCCCATTTACTAGCAAATGCCATCATTCCATTCTTCTTTAAGGCTGAGTAATATTCCATTGTGTATATATAACACATTATCTTTATCCATTCGTCTCTTGAAGGGAATCTAGGTTGGTTCCGTAGCTGGGCTTTTGTGAATTGAGCTGCTATAAACATAGATGTGACTGTGTCTTTGTAGTATGCTGATTTTAAGTCCTTTGGGTATTATGCTGAGGAGTGGGGTAACTGGGTCAAATGCAGTCCCACCAGCAAAGTATGAGGATTACCATGATTTTATCTGTGTGTGTGTGTGTGTGTGTGTGTGTGTTGTGTGTGTGTGTTTAATCTCCTGTATGTCTCCATGCCTGGCACATGGGAGGTGTCAGTAGTGATTTGTGAAAGTGCGTAGTGATTTGTGAAGTTGGATTAAACTGACCCAGAGAGGGCTGAGGATGTGGCTCAGTGGTGGAGCACTTTCCTAGCATCCATGAGGCCCTGGGTTTAATCCCCAATACTGCACACAGCCATATGACTAAACCTGGGCTCATGCCTACAAGCCTTTTATCTCATGGCAGTGGACTGGGTCCTGAAGATTGCAGAAGGTTATTGGTTTGGAGCTGCCCAATTGCACTGGTACATCCTTTATGGTGAGTATATAGGTAGATGCAGGTCATGCCATGATTGTGTACTTAGAGATCACCCCTGTGTTCTTGCCCCATACTTTTGCAAACAGCTTGTCCCATATGAGAAAATCCAGCATACTCTCTGAAGCCAGCAGCTAATCATGGATGGGAAGAACAACAGGAAAACTCATTTTGAGTGTCACTAGAGGGTCATGTTATGAAAGAGCAAACAACTAGTAAAATAGGAAAGAGAATTCTTATACTTTTTTATATTTGATTTAGACACAGGGTCTCACTGAGTTGTTTAGGGCCTCAATAAGTTGCTGAGGCTGGCTTTGCACTCAAGGTCCTCCTGCCTCAGCCTCCTGAGCCACTGGGATTACAGGCGTCCACCACTATGCCTGGCTCTTGTAGTTACTCTGCAAAAAGAAATGCCCGAGTCACCTCCACTTGTGTGTTTCAGGCAACACAACAGGATCCGCAGCGTGAACGGGAGCCAGCTGAAGGCCTACCTTTCCTTGGAAGTGTTGGATCTGAGTTCGAATAATATCACGGAAATCCGGAGCGGCTGCTTTCCCCCTGGACTGTACATAAGAGAGCTGTAAGTACTTCTGTGGCTGGGGCTGTCCCTCTGCTTCTAGGTCAGCTGGAGGCCTCCGTTGCCCAGGTCTGTACACAGTCTGCATATTTCACTTCTGCTTTGGTCAGCTTTTTCACTACTGTGTGACTAAAAAAACCCAACCAGAAAATTGTAGAGGAGGAAAAGTTTATTTGGGGGCTGACAGTTTCAGACGTCTCCATCCATAGATAGCAGGCTCCATTCCTCAGGGCTCGAGGGGAGGCAGGACATCATGGAGAAAGAATGTGGTGGAGGGAAGCAGCTCACATGGTGATCAGGAAGCAGAGAGAGACTCCACTCTCCAGAGACAAATAGAGACCCCAAAGCCATGCCCCCTCCACCAGCCTCCAGCCACCACCCAGTTAATCCCATCAGGAATTCATTCACTGGTTGGGTTAAGGCTCTCACAACCCAGTCATTTCTCCTGGACCTTCTTGCACCATCTCACAGGTGAGTTTTTGGGGGATACCTCACATCCAAACCATAACAATTTTTCAGCCCTGGGGTTGGTGCAAGGCAGGAGGGATTGGCCTCTGATGCCCACTGATGGAACCTTTCCAGTCCCGTAGTATTCGTCTGTGTTACACCCAAGGTGGACACCTTGGGCAGGGAGAGGTGGACTCGCCTGTCCAGGAAGCTCACCCCTCAGACAGAAGAGTTCAAGACTCTGAGGTCTGCCCTGACCACAAAGCCTGCTTTTACTCCCATTTACTGGGCTGCTTCCCATCAGAGCTTGGAGAGAAGGCTCAGGGGAGCTTAGAGGCCCACACTGCAGAGAGAGTGCTTTGCAGACTCTCCAGGCTCTTTCTTCCTAGCGTCGCACAGTGATCAGACAGCTCACGGGATCTGTCTGGGAAGGCGGCTCCTGGTTCTGTGTGTTCTCAGGACTGTGCTGATGTGTCTCTTACCCGTGTTCGAGCCCCATCTTACCTGCGGTGTGGATGGTAGACAGGAGTAAAAATGATAAAACCTGCAGCACCCACGGCCTGTGGGTAGGAAAGTGTTGCTCTGGGGAAGAATCTGAAGAGACATTTCCAAATCTGAGTGAGTTTCCATTCCCTTTGTCATCACTGTTTTGGAGTCATTTTGGAGCTCATTTGTGAGTCCTGTTTAGAGGTAGTCATGACCCATCTCTTCAGGGAAGATGAACCTTAGCCCTTAGATTTTCCAAGTCATTCTCAGGCTGCATCAAGGTGCTGAAATCGGGAACAGGAGGCCTTGGCCTTTGTTAAGCCTCAAGTGGAGCCTGTCCCGAGGTGTCCAGCTGCTGCCCGACACTCCCTTGCTCAGAACCAAGAAATCACCACTGCTAAATGGAATTGCACTGACCTTCTGTCCCTGCAAGAAAGCAGGAGGGATTTTCTCTTTTGGCAGCTTGTGGCTGCTCTATCTTCATCCCAGAGGCTGTTCTCTAATCTGGAATGTCAAGAACAAACAGTCCAGCCCCATTTTTAGAGAATCCTCATGTGCCCTGTGCTGGGGGCTCTGCCTGGTAAAGAATCCAGAGGAGCCTTGTTCCTTCCCCCCAGGGTAGAAGAATCCCTGGGCTTTCTCCTTTTCACTTAGGTGCTGTTTTTTGTTTGTTGTTGTTTTGTTTTGTTTAAAAAAAAAAAAAAAACACCAAAATTTTGTCTAGGAAAAGCAGTAAGAAGGGTGTTGAGGGGTAACTTCTCATAGGAATACTGATTTATTTTATACCCTTTATTTTTTCCCTTTTCTTTTCCACTGCTTGCTATGCTTTGCACACTGTGACACACATATCTGTGTTGTACACTGCAGTCCATCTGCTCGGTATGGTCAAAGGAGATGGCCCTGAAAAAGTATTGCTTGTCTTTTTTTGGCAGGGGCAGGGGTACCAGGGATTGAACCAGGGGCGCTTAACCACTGAGCCCCATCCCCAGCCCTATTTTGTATTTTATTTAGAGACAGGGTCTCACTGAGTTGCTTAGGACCTCGCTTTTGCTGAGGCTGGCTTTGAACTCTCGTTCCTCCTGCTTCAGCCTCCCGTGCTACTGTTATTACAGGCGTGGTATGGCTTGCTTTTTAAAGAACTTGGCTTAGGTCTCTTTAACTAGAGGGTTTCTTTCAGGTATTTAAAATCATTTTAAGGAATTAGCTTGTACACACTTATTATGTAAGTCCAAAAATGAGACCTACTTCAGGATTAAAGACAGATTCCCCAAATCGTGGAATGGAATCTGACCTGGCCTCTGAGCTGACTTTGTGCTTTGTGTAGGGCTTTTCTCGGTTGGCCTAGGGTGGCAGGCCAGGTGTGGCCCGAGGTTGGCAGGTTTGCAGCAGGGCTGGGGGTGGAGGTGTCTGATGGTCATTCCTGCCTTCTTGGGCCCACTAGCCACAGGTGCTGTGTGCTCTGGGCTGAGTGGAGGTTGACCTTGGACAGTCTTGCCACCTGCAGTGGCAGGGCAGGCTCTGAAGCCTCATGATGACAGACGTCTCCTCAGGAAACCTGTCCTTCTGGGTGTGTCTTAGCGTGTTTTCCCAGCTCGGATCCTGCTAGGTCTGGTGTCTGTAACAGAACGAGGAAGGCCTCCTATGGCTGTGACATTTTCTCTCCTGACTCATTCCAGCAACCTGGCCAGCAATCACATTGGCACCCTGGAGTTGGGAGCATTCGATGGCCTGTCACGCTCACTGCTTTTTCTTCACCTGAGCAAAAACAGGATCACCCAGCTTCCTATAAAAGCATTCAAGTTACCCAGGCTGACACAACTGTGAGTACAGAAACCAGCACTTTAATTAAGGTTATAGCCCAATTTTATGGGGGCCAAACTTCCCCAAGGACCTAGTACCAAATGCAACACCTACTCCCTCACCCGCCCCAAGTAAAGTTCTGCATGAACCTTAATTAATGCCCCTATGGCAACACCTAGTAAAAGCAGATTGGAGCTGGGTCTGGTGCCGGTGGCCCACCTCATCTTGCAGGGATGAGATCCACTGAGTATGGGTCCATGCTGGTGTCCTCCTTGATGACATGAGGAATCCTGCTGGTTAGCTAACGTGGCTAGTGCTTAGGCTGCATGCATTCTGTTTATTTATCTCAGAGATTTTAGTGTTGTTTTTAAAGGTACCCGTAAAATATGTACCTCAGGCTTGATGGTATCCTTGACATTTCTTGAATTTAGCAGGAAGTTAGCATGGCTAGAGGCGGTAAGCAGGAGATGGCAATCTTTATCTCCTAAATCTTACAAGGTGGTTGATTTATGATTGTCTCTTGCTTTTTTTTCTTTTTGGTACCGGGGATTGAACTCAGGGGCACTCGACCACTGAGCCACCTCCCCAGCCATATTTTGTATTTTATTTAGAGACAGAGTCTCATTGAGTTGCTTAGGGCCTCTCTGAGTTGCTGAGGCTGGCTCTGAACTCACAATCCTCCCACGCCACTGGGATTATAGCCCTGTGCCACCACGCCTGGCTCTTGATTGATTGATTGATTGATTTTCGGCTTCTTTTTATTATTGGAAGAGTAAATATCAGGAAAACAAGCCAGTAGTGGAAATTTGGTTTAAATTGATGAGAACAGTTGTTGAGGCTCAGCAGGGTGTGGATCCTGGGCTGTCTGCGGAGAAGGTCTCCATGATGCTGAGGAGGTTGGGTCACGAGATGCTGCAGAAATACTTCGGGGAAACCAGGGCTTTCCCATTAGCTCCGTGTGTCCTTCCCTGCCCCTCCAGGCCACCCAGAGTCCTTTCGGTCCCCCAAGGCTCTCTAGTACTAGAGCCAGCAGATGAATGTGTGTGCTTCATGGGGTGTCCCCCACTGCTCTTGCTCACTCTGCCCCATACATGGAGATCCCGACAGATGCCCTGACTGCAAATGTTCTTGCATTTGATACCCGCTGGCTCACTGGCTGGGAAACTCGACATGGTGTGTGTGTGTGTGTGTGTGTGTGTGTGTGTGTATGGAATGTGCACAGGGAGGCTCTGAGCCTGTGGGCTTCTTCTCTTCAGGGACCTTGATCGGAATCAGATTCAGTTGATCCAGGGCCTCACGTTCCAGGGCCTGGACAGCTTAGAGGTGCTGAAGCTCCAGAGAAACAACATCAGCAAGCTGACTGATGGTGCTTTCTGGGGGTTGTCCAATATGCATGTGCTGTAAGTGTGGGCGGGCCCTGGCAGGGCTCCAGCCCAAGGGTGAGGCCGTGGCCTCTGCACCCTGCCTCTGTGGGGAGTGGGGCAGCCTGTGTGTGTCCATTCAGCTGAGCACTAGGTGGAGAGCAGGCCACCTTTCCTTTTTCTTTCTTTTTTGTTTTTTTTTTTCTTTTGGTACCAGGGATTGTACTTGACCCCTGATCCCCATCCCCAGCCCTATTTTGTATTTTATTTAGAGACAGGGTCTCACTGAGTAGCTGAGCGCATCACTTTTGCTGAGGCTGGCTTTGAACTCATTATCCTCCTGCCTCAGCCTCCTGAGCTGCCTCGATGACAGTCTTGCACCACCACGCCCAGAAGGCCACCTATCCTTTGAGCCTTGCTGTGGTCCCAACTCAGTGTTTCTGCAGACTCAACCAAATCTGTTCGTGTTTCCATAGCAGAGTAGGAACATCTCTTGGAGGAGGTTTTTGTGAATCAGGTCAGGTGTTGCAGGAAGGAGCCCCATTCCTGGGCCTCCTCCCACCCCCTACTTCCTCGCTGTGGAACAGATCCTTCCCCACATCCTCTCCACTCTCACACTCCCCAGGAAGCTCCTTCCCTCCCCATTTTGGGTTTGACAGTCTTCCTTGATGTGCAGGTGGACCCAAAATGTATAGTTCATCACAGGAGATTTATTTCTGTCTTGTGAGCTCATCAAGGCACTTGGTGCAGATGTGCAGCTTTTATCAAGAGAACGTTATCTTCGGCCAGATGTGTCCAATATCAGAGCCGAGGCCTGCCAGAAACAAAGGCAACATAAAAAAAAGGCAGAGGAAAGCAAACTGCTGTCGTTCAACATTTAAATTTGTTTATTTTTCATCAGAGGTAATGCCTCTGCGTGAATGAATCAGATAGTAAAGGAAAGCAGCTGCTGCCCACCCATTGTCTGTCCCCTCCCTCTGGCTCCCTCCCCATCCCCGTTCTTCTCTCAGGAGACAGTTGGGTCTCAGCAGTTCCTCTTGGTTTTCCTGTTTGCAGTTGGTTACTTCCAAGCTGACACACCTGCACCAGTATCTTTACCCACTTCTTTCCTTCACTACTTGTCTTTATAACTGAAACCAAGCCCAGAAGCTTAGGTCCAGGCCCCACAGTGTACTGTGCAGAAGCATCTCTGCTTTGCATGACCAGGATGCCAGTGGCTTCTCCTCCTTTGCCACTTCAGCTGGGCTGGAGCTCTGTGGTGCATATTCCAGAACACTCTTCCTTCCTCAAGCCTGTCATTTAGAATCTGAAGTTCTAAGTTGATGATGGTCTGAGGATGAAGAGAATTTTCAGAAGAAAACAGTGTGAGGCTCTACCATTTCGTTTTTATGTGAAACAAATTTATACAAATTAGGGCCGGTGATGGTGGTGTGTGCCTGTAATCCCAGTGGCTCAGGAGGCTGAGGCAGGAGGATTGCAAGTTTGAGGCCAGCCTCAGCAACTTATCAAGGTCCTCTCCAGCGAGACCCTGTCTCTAAATCAAATATAAAAAAGGGTGGGGGTGTGGCTCAATGGTTAAGCACCCCTGACTTCAATCCCTGGTACCAAAAAAAAAAAAAAAAAAAGAGCAAAATGTGCATCGGTAACTTCCATGAGAGAAACCAGGTGTCTGGGCAGAGTTGTCATTGGTGAGGATTCTGAGAAGTGAGGGAATGGCACATGGATGCTCTTCATTCAATGGGGTCATATCCCAAGAAGCCCACTGTGAGCTGAGGATGTCATAAGTTGAAAATACACTTAATTTCTACTCCCCAGGGCATCCTAGCTTGCAGCACAACACATGGTAGAGTGTTGAGAAAGGACTGTACCAAGTAGGAAAGATCTAGATTCAGAATTCCAAGTGGAGTTTCTGCAGAATGTGTGCTAGTCTCACACCTTCATAGAGTGTGGACATCACAAGTTGGAATATTGTAAGTCAGGGACCTACTGTGCATACTTAATGAGTTTGTTGGGAGCCAGATCCTCACACTGCCCACAACCCCGATGTACATTCTCTATTCCCTCTCCATACAGCGCCACGAGGTGGATTCTTCTGGATGTTTCCATTTCAAAGGTGTTCAGACTCATTAAGCCATCAAAATGGCAAAATCAAGATTTAAATCTTGTAGTCATGGAGCCAGGAGTAGTGGCACACACCTGTAATCCCAGCTGCTCAGGAGGCTGAGGGAGGAGGATCATGAGTTCAAAGCCAGCCTCAGCAACTTAGCAAGGCCCTAAGCAACTCAGTGAGACCCTGTCTCTAAATAAAAAAAATATAAATAGGGCTGGGGCTGGGGCTCAGTGGTTAAGCACTCCTGGGTTCAATCCCCAGTACCAGAAAAACAAAAATCATACAGTCATTGGACCCCAGAGCTAATGCCATGTCTCCTGGCACAGTAGATTTTATCAGTTGGATGAGGATAAGGGCTGCCTCCCTTTTCCCCTTCTCTCTCTCTGTTCCTCTCCTGGCTTTGCCCTTGCTGAGAGCTCCTCTGCCCACTCATCTGTCTGGTTCACTTTGACTCAGCTAAAAGTGACTTATGGCTAATGTCCCCTGCCCTTCCGGAACTTTCTGAGTGTGTCTTGGCCTTCAGACCCTCCCCTGGGGTCTGCCCATCTTCTCTCCATCATGTGTGTGCACACCAGGGGGTCTCCAAGCTTCCCATGTGCTCTTACATCCTCAGTGTGACCGCCATGTCTAATCGGAGCACTGACCAGGCACACTCTGGGTATTGGGTAAAGGTTGGACCCCTTGACCCTGGGTGCTGTCATTGCAGACACCTCGAGCACAACAGCCTGGTGGAAGTAAATAGCGGCTCCCTCTTTGGCCTCATGGCCCTGCACCAGCTGCACCTCAGCCACAACTCCATCTCGTGCATCCTCCACGGCAGCTGGAACTTCTGTCAGAAGCTGCATGAGTTTTAAGTGCCCTCGGCTTTGGTCTGTGGAGGCAGATCCTCCAGAGCCCAGAGAGCAGTGGACTAGAAAGGGGTGCAGGCCTCGGGGGCAAAAGCAGCTCAGAGGCAGGCCTGCCAGTGGCCCTGTTCTGGCAGAAAGAAGGATAGATGTCCAGGCCAGCCAGGCCCAAAGCAGGACTGTCAGGGCTTTGAGCTCCAGGCCCTTCCTACCTCCTAATTTTGGATTAATAGAGGTGTATCCTGTCTGTCCCCATGAGGAGCCTCTGTCCCCAGGGATTTCTTGGGTATGGAAAAAGCTCCTGAAGTCAAGGAGCTTCTGTCTGGGAAGGGCAACCTAAAGAACCCTTCTCACTGTACCTTAGGCCTCTGGGCCATGGTGTGGCACACCTGTAATGCCAGTGACCTGGGAGGCCAAGGCAGGAGTATCACAAGTTTGAGGCCAGCCTCGGTAAACTAGTGGGACCTTTCTCAAAAAAAAAAAAAAAAGAAGAAGCTGGCAATGTGGCTCAGTGGTAGAGCATCCCTGGGTCCAAGCCCCAGTATCAGAGAGAGAGAGAGAGAGAGAGAGAGAGAGAGAGAGAGAGAGAGAGAGAGAGAGAGACAGTGTGTTTGAACCACACTGGGAGCATGAACAGAGCAATGGCGACCCGCTGACTGTGGAAAAATTTGTGTTTCCTCAGCGCTTGTATCTCTGTCAGCTTCCCCAGGGACCTGGCTCTTCTAGTTACCTGTCGTGCCTGGTGGAGGAGGTGGATGTGAATGGAGGCTCACCCCACCCCCCTACCCCACCCCGCATCCCTTTGGAAGATCCCCAGGTGAGACACCCAGGCTGGGCCTGAGGGCACCTGAGCTCACTGTTGCCCAAGCTGAGAGCCACAGTGGTGACCCCTGGAGAGGGAACCTGGGTCCCCTCTCTATCCTGCATGCACAGCCAGAGATGCATAGCCAAGGGTTGGAGAATGTGGCCATGTTCCCGTGTCTGCACCAGTTTCTAGATCTCTGCTTTTGTTGGGGGAACAGGTCCTTGCCAGGTGGAAATTTTCAGTTTTATAATGCTCTAGTTTAGTCCTGTTGGGTTTCTGTATTTTTCAGGAGAGTTTGGGAGGGTTTTCTCCTTTCCCACTTGTTGTAGGCTTGGCCTATAAAAATTGTCACTTAATGTGAGCAAGCGTTAAGGGTGCCAGGCACACTTGCGGGGGCCTTGGAACTTCATGCTGCGCTCACTGCCAGAGTCCTTACCCGGTCCCTCCCGTTGTGTGTCTCTCGCATCAAGGGCTCACATGCATCCCTCCGGCGACCTGGTGTTTTGGTCTCTGTGGGTCAGTGGTTAGACTGTGTGCCATGCAGCAGCCTGCCTCTCCCTCCTGCTCACTGCCCTTGGACTTGGGGTGTTAGATTCACCCTCCTGGTGCTTTAGGGTGCTGCTTCGTCTCTCTTGTGGTATCCGATGACAAGCTCTTTGCTCAGGCAGGGACCACATGAGGGAACTCCAGGGACGCGTGGTTCTCTGTTGTCCTAGGCCAGGAGCCCTGGGGAAGCAGGGCAGGTGTTGAGTCCCACAGTCCTGAACCTGTCTATTTCCTAGGGTGAGGAGCCACCATCCTGCTACTCGGCAGAGGGTGTGTGACCTCCTGGGAGAAGCTGTGCTCCAGAGACTTGATGGGGCTTTGAGTTCCCTGCTCCCCTTTCTGGCTGTGGACCGCTGTCTACTGTGCCCTTTAGAGGGGCCAGGGGTCACTGATGCGTGCCTTGACCAGTTCTAGACGCATAATCTGCTCTAATGCCATCCATTTCCCTGCAAATTCTATGATTTTGACATTTTTTAATGCAGAGTAATACTCCATTGTGTATAAATGCCACATTTTTTTTATCCATTCATCTATTGAAGGGCATCTAGGTTGGTTCCACAGTCTTGCTATTGTGAATTGTGCTGCTATGCACATTGATGTAGCAGTGTCCCTGTAGCATGCTCTTTTTAGGTCTTTAGGGAATAGACTGAGAAGGGGAATAGCTGGGTCAAATGGTGGTTCCATTCCCAGCTTTCCAAGAAATCTCCATACTGCTTTCCAAATTGGCCACACCAATTTGCAGTCCCACCAGCAATGTACAAGTGTACCCTTTTCCCCACATCCTCGCCAGCACTTGTTGTTGTTTGACTTCATAATGGCTGCCAATCTTACTGGAGTGAGATGGTATCTTAGGGTGGTTTTGATTTGCATTTCTCTGACTGCTAGAGATGGTGAGCATTTTTTCATGTACTTGTTGATTGATTGTATGTCCTCCTCTGAGAAGTGTCTGTTCAGTTCCTTGGCCCATTTGTTGATTGGGTTATTTGTTATCTTATTGTCTAATTTTTTTTAGTTCTTTGTATACTCTGGATATTAGGGCTCTATCTGAAGTGTGAGGAGTAAAGATTTTT